GTGTACTGTATGATATAATACATATTGGGAAGGATCTATAACATGGGATAAATGCTGGTATTAGTATAAAGATATCAGTATGTTTCCTAGTTAATTGCCAAAAAGTCAGAACATGGGTTTCTGGGACCACAGTAATATAATATCAACCAATCTTGGTCATTTGGTTACGTGTAGCGAATTAATCCAAGGATCTCATCAGTTGTTTCTTGAAAGAAGCCAGGGTATCTGCATCGAACACATGGATGGGTAACATGTTCCTTTGCTCAGTCTCAAATGCCTTTTCACTTGTGTACTCTGGTTTGCGTTTCATTGTTGATTGCAAAGTACAGTTGGTTAACTACTGGAACGCCACAACTTAATGTGTATGTAAAAGTCAGTTCAGGAGCTCATGGCATATGGAACCAGAGTGAGGTGACGCTCTTTATAAAATTACTAATGAAGCATAAAAAACATTTGATTCTAATGAATTAAATGAGATAAGTTGAAGTCTACAGTCTGCCCACAAACTTGTATCAGCATCTGGTACTATATTTTATTAGTAAACGCACGATCAGAACTTACAGTGCCATCTGCTGTCGAATAACATAAAATATATGCTAAGTAACAAAAGCAAAATCTTGACAATACCCATGAGCAGACACACAGACCTTTTAGATATGCTCTGTAGAATATCACACATCGCTTTTTCCTGTCGTGACAAAAAGCCAGACAACCTATTGATAATCAAGTTGTTTTTGGAAAGCAGTGGCCCTGTTCATCCTCTATGCTTAGAGCGTTTAAGATGTGTTTGAGTTAGACTCACTCATAGAACTCAGTGGCTTTTTGCAGAGTTTCTCGTACATCTGATGGCAGGTCTCCAGGATCCTGGGCACAGTTCCAGGACTGCTGCTTGCCCTTGGCATGGAAAACATTTCCAATGTTGTACAGGGCTCTGGCTTCCCCAACCTGGAGGAATAATAAAATCACCTTTTGCCATCACATTTTACACTCACAGCAAGAACTACAGATGAGGGGTCTTCTGAATGCTTGCTATTTCTGTTGAACGGTTTTCAGTGATGAAAAGAATTGCTACAGAGCTTATATTGACCTCTTTTGTCCTACAATGAATGTTCACCCAAAATGTTTTTTGTTCCAATAAATGAAAGGTAGCTCAGTGATAATCAGATCCTGAAAAGGATGGAGATCCCCAAGCAGACCTGGCGCCATGGGGGGGGGGGGTTGACAAAAGGGGCCCATCACCCCCTCAACTGAATTGTCCTGCCCCTCAGTTTTGGACAAAAGGATTTTTGAACACTTTAGGTTACTTAACTTGCGCCCTAAAAAATAGTTGTACTTTGTCAATGGTCAGTTAACTACACGAACCCCGAATTCAACGTTATTACTGTACATCGGACTGTTTGACGTGCAGGAGGGCTATCCATCCAGGAACGCACCTATTACATAGTGTCTACGTTATTGGGTGTCAATCTTGTTGCTCAGGGGGACCGATTCCTTGCAGTAGTTTATACTTATACTTCCAAACGTTATATAATTAGGACCGTAGTTATATAAGTCTGTGCTTTCTGTTGGTTTTACAACTAGTTTTTCTTAACGATTCAGAACCTCGTCACCTCCGATGTAGCTACAAAAATGAACGTGTGTGGTATTTTGTGGATCCAGGCAATAATAATCGCAAGAGGGCTGATGAACGTGAAACAGTACTTCATCGCTAAATACCAGATTGCTCGTCATCATCTTCTATCATGAAGCACTAGTCAGTGGCATAGTTGCGAGATTTCACTTGGGGAGTTGCAACAGCTCTGTTTCAACTGAAATATCACTGCCACCCCTCAGAATTTCAGACGCCCCCCTATTTTTCCCCTGGTGCCGGCCCTATCCCTCAGTTTACCAGAAATCACGAGTGCTCAGATGCTCTGCTAGATCTACCTTGTCTCCCTGCTCTCGAGAGATCTCCAGGTGTCTCTGGCAGCAGACCACTGCCTCGTCGAAACGTCCCAGAACCTTCAATGTGTTCCCAAGGTTACCACTGGCCTTTCCTTCCCCAATCCGGTCCCCGATTGTCCTGGGAATAAATAAGATGCAATGAGCTGCAGCTGCCTGTGAATATTCATTCAAACAGGAAAAAAAAATTAAGCTAATAAAATGATCAGGCTTTGTTTTCCAGTGAGTGACATGTAAAGCAAGATTTAACAATGGTTTAAACTTGGAATAAATGCAACATGAAATTAAGTGTTTTAATAGGCCATAGAATAGACATACATGGCTCAAGGAAATTGCAATTCACAAAGTGTGTTTAGCACAGTAAACTCATATAATAATTAGACAACATGGAACAATTCATTAGTGAGGAAATGCTTTTTGATCTATATGGTATTTTTTTCTTAAGGTCTGTCTGGAACAAAAGTTCCTGTCTGAGCCACAGAGTAAAAGTTAATGGTAAAATATATAATTTTTACTAACTTACAAATATAAATACCTTCTAACAGAATGCCATAATATTCACGCCCTTCCAGTGATGTCGCATTAAATTTAATTACTGATAATGTATACACATTTTTAGTGGATGTTTTAATCAAAACTTCAATGCTGAAATCATTTTTTGCTTTATGAGTGAAAAAACTGCAAAGAAAAACAAAACTATGGTTTCTAAATATCTGTTGACAAATTCTTTTACCTCCTTTTTTAGTTTTATAATAATTCCATTATTGTGAAAAAAGAGACTCTTTCTACTCCTTTAGTTATACTGAAAGATATTAAAAACACAACAGATGATTTTTGAAGCCAATCATTGAAACCAATAGTAAGTTGTGTTTTTTTAATTTTTTGAACTCATCCACACCCGAGTTCAGCAAACTCGTGTCCTCATGTAACTGACACAAAGTGGCAACGCGCCTTTGTATCAGTATCAAAAACTGCAGTTTTAATTGTGGGATGTTTTATTTTGTTTTACATTCAGATACCTGACAGGAAAAGAAGGTTTCAGCAGTAGAAGTAGGTAAAGTGAGGATATCTGCCAGTACCTGGCAAGGGTGAGGTCGTGGCGGTGGTATTCCAGGGCCTTGGCATACTCTTTCAGGTAGAAGTAGGCGTTGCCCAGTTGACTGTAAATGGCACTCAGGGTCTTCAGGTCCTCAGTGCCCACCTGAACAGCAGCCTCAAAGAACGCTGTTCCTCCCTTGAAGTCTCCTGTCTTGCAGAGTCGCTCCCCCTCCAGCGCAAGCTCCAGACAGGAGGCCTCCATCCTGTAGCACACAATGAGACACACAACTTAGCATATCCCACTAAATCCATGATGTACGCATAGGCCGTCACAGAAAGGGCGTGAACCAAGTGGTTCCACGGTGACTGACATGACCGTCACAGCCTTCCAGGGAACTTTATCGCAATGTTTTCCCCTTGCACAAACACTCTCCTCCAAGATTGGTGCTCTGAAATATCCCCTCATCAGGATAACTACAATTTTACGGTTTTCTCATGATTACTCTGTCCAACTGTCCGAGCACATTTGCTCTTAATGGATCTCTGGGCCCTCAGCTCTAAGGTCCAAGTCCTGTTCTGCACTCTCAGTGTCATCACATATGCCCTCAGTAGACCACACACTTGGGTCCCTTCATGACCTCCTTCATCTTCGAGGTTAATGCCCATCACTGAACCCTTCTCTCAAGGAACCCCAGGCTCAGTGAATCTCACCCCTCTGCTCTCAGTCCCTTGCTAATCCCTGGAAGTAACAGTTGAAGACTCTCGACTCTCGACTCTCGACTCTCGACTCTCGACTCTCGACTCCTCTTCGGCAGTTTTCCTTGCACCTTGATGACACTTTTCTATAGGAGCCACCCTGCTCCTAAACACCTCACATGACCTACTCTTGTTCCAGGATATCACACCTCT